TCCATTTGTGCTTGAAAGTGTCTTTCTGGAGAAAGCAGAATGCAGCATGCATGCCATTGACTCATTGACGCCACCACCACTCTGTCTAGTTCAAAGTGTAATAGATTTGACCCCAAGTTAAAATGATACAGATGTTGTGTGTTACTTGGGCTGATTGCTGCAAGTAGTTTCTAGCAAATTATAAATAGTTTCCAGCCAATGTATAAATAGTTTCAACATCCCCCCCCCCAAGAACACAGATGGCCAAATAAACAGGCCACCGCAGGTCTTAAGTCATTTTGCCAAATGTGCCACGACCACCATTTGGGTGGTCATACGCACGTCTAGGCTTCAAGAGACGATCTCGAAACTGGTTCGAAAGCTGGTTGGCTCACAGTCGAGGCTACATGGCCCGAGCAGCTCGTTCGTGACTAGCACATTGGTCTGTCTAAAAGGAGCGTTTGGTTTGAGGGGGGGCCTGGGCAAGAAGGGAGCGAATCCTCTGCTTGTTCATGCTTTTGTTCAGTCACCATCTGTTCAGTTTAGGGCTCGTGAAGAGTCTGCTTCGTGAAGGAGCTTGTTCCCTGAACTGTTACGGTGTGTGTTCACTGCCCTCTTTGGACCGATCATGTCCGGGGGTTACGTCCCCATGCTGGTAACCTCTCGGATGAGAACAGCTCGCAGTGCTTTTTCATGTCCAGGAGGTTCTTGTTTATGATCGAACAAATACGCCTCTCGCGTATGTTGCAAACTAGAGAGTGATGATGTTAATCTCCTTGCGGTCCCCTGACATCTCTTTGGACCAGGCTCTGGACACTTTACTTAAATCATTGTAGTTGCAAAAAAGGTATCGGAACGAGGGTGAACGAGGTCAGAACCCATGCCAGCAAGGAATGGCAGCCTTAGCGACCTACCACAGACGGCTGCGGACGGTTGCGAACGGTTGCGGATGGCTGCGAAAGCTACGGCGACGAGTCGCGAACAAGGCTCTATACCCCCAGAGTTAAGCGAGAACCCCTCGCTACGCATCCGGGAAAAAACGAAAGACCGAAAAAATAAAGAAAACGTACAGTATAAATTATCCCGGCAAGAGACCCCAAACAGTGTGTGTGATGTCAAAAAGCAGAAAGTCTAGAGATCTAGACGCAGGTGATCAAGTTGGGGGATCGTGGTGACGGTGGCGGTGGTGGTGAGTGAGTGTGAGTGTGAGTGAGAGTGACAGTGAGTGTGGGTGAGACTCACTCTCACTCTCTCTCACTCACTCACACTCACTCCCACTCTCACACACACTCACGCTCACTCACTCTCCCACTCTCACTCTCACTCACTCTCCCACTCTCACTCACGCTCACTCTCACCCACTCACTCACCGACCTTCACTCTCACTCACACTCACTCTCACTGTCACTCACACTCCCACCCTCACACTCACTCTCACCCACACTCACTCTCACTCACACTCACTCTCACTCTCACTCACACTGGCGCTCACACTCGCTCACTCTCCCACTCTCACTCTCACTCTCACTCACTCTCCCACTCTCACTCACACTCACTCTCACCCACACCCACTCTCACTCACACTCATTCTCACTCTCACTTATACTGGCGCTCACACTCCACTCTCCCACTCTCACTCACGCTCTCTCACTCTCCCACTCTCGCTCACACTCCCTCACACTCTCGCTCTCACCCACACTTACAGTTTGGTGTGCCGCGCGGGCGTGCGCGGCGAATTCGCTGCTATTTGCAGTACATTCATGCCTTTCGAACTCCTCCAAGTGCATTTCGACTGCGCAGGCTCGCTGAATCTTGGGGCCGGCGGCAGGTGCTTCTAGCGACTGCGCTCTCGTTGTGCATTTTTGCACATGCTGGTCACTTTTCATGGCAGGCGCAAGGGAAACCTTGTGTCTTGGCGCTTGAAAGTCGACTTTTCGTGACAGGTGCAAGGGATCGGAGCTGTTTTACTTCGAACTGCAGTTTTCGTGGCTTTGGACATGGTGGTGATCGTCGAGGGGCTCAGATTTCGTGACAGGTGCAGTGAATCGTGACATTTGGGCATGTGGCTCGTTTGCAGCTTTCGTGGCAGGCACAGCACTCTGCATGTGAGAACCTCGATGCGCAGATTTCGTGGCATGCGCAGCACTTTGTCGAAGTGCAGATTGCGTGGCAGGCACCGCGCTTGGTGAACCTCGAAGTGCGTGCAGATGACAGCGTACAGCGACAGCTCGGCAGCAAGAGGCATAATGCAGCGAGCCGGACAAGGAAAGCTGAAACACACCCACATCCGCAATTTGTGGATCCAAGATTTGGTTCGAGAGAAAACTATTCGCCTATGCAGGGTTCCAACAGCAATCAACCCGTCAGATCTGAACACGAAGAAACTTTCACAAGAACGAAGGAAGAAGCTAATGGCTTTGACTCCCATAGGATTTCAGACTGGCATGGAGATAGAGAACATTGAGACAGAGAAAACATTGGACAGCAGATCACTTCAGAAGATTTTGAGAGTCCTATTAGCAGGTAGCAGTTGTTTTCTGCAAGGATGTGAGCACACTTTCCTGACAGGTGGAGAGATTGAATGGATGGACTACCTCACGGTCAAGAACATGGTGATGACAGCATTGAATTGCTGATTGCCTACCTGATGTACGCGATCAGACGACCAGGAGATCCCAACAGTTCTTCATCCTCGACATCAACTTCGCAAGAGAGCGGACCTTTTACATCAGGCATCACTCCAGACAGACCAAGAAGACAGAGACCAAGAATGACACCTGGAGATGCAATGAGGTTAGGATGGCGACCTCCCCTTCACATAGGAGCATTAGCAGAACTTGGTGAAGAGTGTATGGCAAGACATCAATCCATCGAGATTCCAAAGAGGATTGATGAACATATTTCCCCTTCCTTTCAGACGAGCAGGTAGCAGTGGGAGAAACCACATCGATGGAGCACCAGGAGAACCTGATCAAGACCTACCAGAACAACATGAACAAGTTCCAGAAGAAGATGAACCTTTTGGAGAAGAACCAAGTCCAGATCAAACTTTAAGTCAACCTGGACAAGAACGATTTGATGTTTTCACACAAGCTGGACAAAGTGGTGATCAAGAAGAAGCAGCACATGGACCACGACGGAGACTACAACAAGAAGCTTCGCATGGAGCTATGAGACCAGAAGAACCAGAACCAGAACCAGAAGGAGAAGATGATGAACTTCATCCTGGACACCATGGAGACGAACATCTACCTGGACAAGTTCGACGAGTACAACAACATACAACATGGTCATGGAGAAGATGGACACCAATGGATGACCTTTGATGGTCATGGATGTTCAAGTCATGGCGAAGAAGATCAAGAGAGCAATGAGACCACTGAGGCAGAGCACCTCGAGATTTCAAGTGACAGTTCACGAATTGTAATTGATTTTGAGACAAATTCAGAAGGAGAACGACAAGCAGAAGCTCAGAACAGAGCACAAGACACAGATAATCAATACTGGATGACACTTGAAGAGACAGGCCGACGCATTGGCGAGATGATAGCTGACGACAGCAATCACTACAACGAGGACGAGCTCTATGACATGATCCCAGATGACCAGGAAACCTTTGACTGGTATCGACAGCAGATGCTGATGAGAGGAGAAGGAGTTGAAACTCATCTAGTTCATGCAGGGCATGAATTGGCAAATTTGATCAACCAGATCCTGGACACGGCAATGACACAGAGAGTGGTACTGAATGGAGACATGTTTGGCAGGCTACAGATCCTACACAAGGAGATCCTGGAAGCGATCGACAATTGCACAACTCCAGAAGGATGCAGAAGAAGCTTTTCAGATTCATCAAGAAGCTGCAAAGGCTGGAGAGAGAAGCAATTGAGAAGGCAACGGATGACATGAATGAAGCAGGCAGAAATGAATCCTTGAACACAGTGGAGCGATATCAACGTGGAGAAGAACGAGAAGCTGGAGAAGAACTTCGAGGCATAGAAGAGGCGATGCTCCAGGTACTACCAGAAGAGACACACATCATTCCTGGAGAGCACAGCAGAGCAGGCTTGGCGTTTGCAGCTGGAACAGCTGAGACAGGTGAAAGGAGAACCTATGCAGGCAGCTCTACTGACCGCATCAGAGCTGGACTGCAAGACGGTGAGCCTCCCTACTTGAGGAGGAGAATGACAGTGGAGGAAGTCATCAGTGAAGCCGACGATGACATGGACAAGGAGAATGAGGAGCCCGATGACGCAGAACATGGCGATGGAGGCCATAGTGAGAGATGAACTTTTGGCAGTGGTGATTTCAGTCAAGAACAACTTCTGGTCACCACAGCCGGTTCAGATGGCTTAAGTGCCAAAGAGAAAAGTATGGACGCATTTGAGCATGCATCCATAAGGCTGGGTGTGAGATTTACTTTGTCTAGATCATGCATAGCATGTACAGTTCACAAACCTTCAGCTGAAGTGGCTTTTTCTGCCCAAAGGAAAAGACCGCAGCCGCAGCCATGTTTTGACAGATAGTTGTAAGTTGCAGCGCTTCAGAACATGTTTGATTAGTAGAGAAGGCTGTGAACACAAAGAGTGCCAGACTCACTATCTGTGGTTTGGGCTGTGTTTTTGCGACAGAGAGAGCGTAGGTTTCCACTGTAAGAAGAGACTGGATGACACTGGTATCTCCAGTTTTATTGATACTTGAAGGATCTTGAAGGTTAACGGTTAAATAAGTGAAGAAAGGTTCTGTGGGTTAAGACCAACCGAGCACAAGAAGCTTTAGCAAATAGTTATCTAGACGTGTGTTGCGATCGTAACTGGGAGTGCGTCCCAAAAGACTCCCAACTCCCAACAATTTGGTTCAATTTCTGATTCCAACATGGCATTGTCGGAAGCCATTTGTTAATTAAGTTTTTACGACAAAAGACACGAAAGAGGACACATACACACACTACACTGACTGACATCCACTTCCTTTTGATGTCTCCCGTCTCATGCGATGAGATACTTTCACCAAACGAGCAGGTGCTGGCACCATACCTTCAGCACCCTGTTTTGCAAACAACCTTGCTGGCAGGGTGCTTAATTTCAGCATGAGAGTCTCTCTCCCTCTCTCTCTGTGTTGCATACAGGTTGCGAAATTGATTCCGTATCAGCCCGTATCAGCGGATGTTTTTGAATGTTGTTCGGCAATGCTTTCCACCTCGGTCTATTGAAATTGGCTACTGCATGAGGCAGTTCAAACCGCTTCATGGCTTTGGCTTGCCGACCTATTCCTGTCCAAAAGAGGTAGCTATTTCGAGGCTCGCAAAATCATGCGCCAAGACAACCAACCCATGGCTTTGACACGCGAACTCTCAGTTTCAGCAGTGTCAGCATGAACAACTGCTAAACATGTAAAGGCTGCAACATATTGAACGGCGCATTGTTATACAACAATTGCCCATTGTGATTGAACACAACCTAAAGATCCTAAAGTTCATTTTAGCCTTCGGATTTTTGGATGTAGAAAAAATGTGGTCTTCTCTTGTACATGAAGCTTCGCTTGTTGTTGCCTGAGATCTCCGAGCTCGGTGCTTCCATGCTTCCGGGAGAGCCTTGGCAGCCTAGACCTTTCGAGAACCGACACTTTGAAAGCTCCTGAACCACTTGTTGTAGCGTAGTGGGTATGTTGCAGGTGGGGTTTCACGGCTACTCTCACACAAAAGTGATGTATCTTGGCTATGCATTCTCAAAACATGTTAAACATGTTGTTCAACTTGCGCCGTTTAGCCTTTAAAGATGCTTGGCAATAGTATTTCAAAGCTAAGGTGAAGTGGAACAAAGGGACTTGCAATAGTACCAGTAGATACGACATCGCACCACTGTTTGAGCCGCTTGGTACGGGAACCGTGCCTTGGCAAGGCTGCGAAGCAGCTTCAACGTTTCACTTCCGGGGGACAAAGTTGGCACGAAGGAAGCAAGGATGAATAGGGGAACATGTTTTTGTCCCAGGGATTGCAATTTGCATTTGTGGATTTGACACCGTTGTTGAGCGGGCCCAGACAAGAGCTGGCTTGTCCGCAGGGCAGTGGTGGAAGCTTTGAGACACTGCATATATTTTTTTGCTGGCAGCCACTAGCCCGGTTGCATTAGGAATTCAGCCTTACCTTACTTTGCAATTCTTTGTATCCCTTCTGAGCTCAACTGTATCTTCTCTTTCAACAAGGTGGGGTGGTTGATGAGTGTTGAAGCTCAGAAGTGCTTAGACACGGGCTAGGCAACAAGGTTTGCAAACCAGTTGCATAGCTGGGATCCTCCTATGAGATCCTCGCAGTACTCGTAGGCAGTTGGAATTCGGCATTGTGCAGGGCAAAGTGGCCACTCCAGGCTGAGCCACTTGCCGATGTTGGACCTGCAGTGTTGTGGGCAATAGCATCATTGTATGCTTGTCCACAGGCACACATATGGCTTGATATGAATGTTTGTCGTTTGATGTGTTGTACCCTTGTTGTTATGCATGAATTTCAATGCATCTCTTTCTTGGTTGCAAATGTACTTTTGACCAGTCCCCACAAGCAAGGTGATTGCACGACAACCAGTGTTTGACCGTGCCTCCCTTGGCTCAATTTTGGCCGGATTCACTTGAGTTCCATTCATGTCATTTCTGATGCCATGGCTTTATGCTCTCCGTGCCACGAGCTAGAAACTGGAGATGCTCAAGTGATTGAAACCTGACCTCAGAGTCAGAGTTCAATTGCTGTCTCCAAATATAAAGCAGACACATTTATACATTGCTCTTGAATGAACGCCTCAATGTTAAAGTGTGCTGATTCTGCCTTGTCTTTTGAGGATGTGGAGACTCAGGCGGTGATGGAGGAGGGAGCAAAAGCAAGTCAAACAGCTTTGCTCGTGTGATATATCGTGAGCTTGTCCTGGGAGGAGGGATATTCTGTCAAAAAAGGTCAGCAGCCTGAGCCTGAGCACTGCACAAACCCTGAGAAAGATGCTAGAGAAGCCACCAAAGATGCCGCGCAGCATGAGGCCGGATAGAAGAATGCGCTTGCAAAAGTTACGCATGCATGAAGAACGATACCGTAAGTACATTTGCACACATAGATCTGCCTTTGGGCTTTCTTGGATGCAGACACCCGCTGGAGCAGATGGATCAGGCACCTCAGCTGCATATACGCAGAACAGTCATGCTGTAGTTCAAGTGTTCACGTCTCATTCCAGCAGCTCACCTGACGTGGTACTCATCCAGAAGCAGATGTTTTCAACTGCGTTTTTGGATGTACTCCGGGTAAGATTAACGTGTGGCAAAAAAATATGGTGCTATGTTTGGAAGTTTCCTCATCTACTCTAAGTGCAAACCAGATGGCGCAGGCATGATGTCATTTTGGGGGGGGTGCGCCATCTATTCGGCCAGCCAGGAAGTTGAACATATGGCTATAACCCGGCCGTCGCTCGCTGCCCTGGATCCCAAAAAACTGGGCCAAAATATCATAGTAGATGGCGCAGGACATTGAGGTTTATATAAAGGCGCAAGAACATCCCATGCCCTGGCTGATCATCAGGCTGCGCCATCTACTTTGCACTTTCCTATACCTGCTCTCCCGGCTCTCCCCTCTCCTCCTTTCCCTCCCCACCTCTGACCTCCCTTTGTCGTCCCTTCCCTGCTCGAGGAAAGAACTACATGTGCTATCCTTCCACAAGTCCTTGCCTTTTCTGCTGCCCATGCCCTGGCTGATCATCAGGCTGCGCCATCTACTTTGCACTTGTCAGTCCTGCCCCCCTCACCCTTTTCTTTATACCTGCTCTCCCCTCTCCTGTTTTCCCTTCCCCCTACCTCTGACCTCCACTTTGCGCAACCTACTGTACACAGAGTGGCAGTCCCGCCCTGTCCCCTCTCAATCTTCTCTCTTTTCTCCCTGTCTCCCTTCTTTGCTTTCCACAAGCCCTTCTTTTTCTGCTGCCCATGTCTTGTTCCGTCCCTCCCCTTCTCTCCTCTTCCCTTCTCTTCTTCCTTGATTCTCTCCCCTCTTCTCTCTTCCTTCTCTCGTTTCCCTCCTTTTTTCTTTCTCTTTTCTCTGCTGCTTGAAGTTCCCTGTCTTCTTTTTTGGGTTGCTTCCCCTCCCTCTCTCTCTCCCTCTCTCTCTCTCTTTCTTTGTATCTCTCCCTTCTCTTTGTTCCATATTGTGTCCTCACGCTAGTAGATGGCACCGTTTCTAGAATAAGAGCAAAAAACAGCCAATTTCAACCTAATAGATGGCGCCGCCCTGTCTTTGGACCATACCCCTGCTCCAAGTCTCTTTTTGTTCTTGGAGGTGTATACTCTGTGTATCGCTCCTGATTTTTTGACGTTTTGTTGCGCCATCTGGTTTGCAAATAGTGTACATCCGAGGGTTCCATGATCTCCGGCAAGGGTGGCCACTTGAAATAAACATGGAATCGCAGGACGCGTTTTACTTGGCCTTTCTGTGACTTCCTGCATGTCTATGTTTGCTTGCTTTGCGTCTCTGGTTTTTCATTAACTTCAATTTACTTGAATCCAGCTATTCCCCAGGGTTGTTGACCTGCGGTTCCAAACGGTTTGTTTTTGCAGGCCACGGGGTTCGAGAGAGCCAAGATGTTCCCAGTAGTGGCTGTGTCCCTCATCATCCAGCGCTGGCTATGTTTTGGCTGCGTGTCTGCTGCAGTTTGGACGCTGTGGCACAAGAGTCACAAGAGACTGCCATGTTGAAGCACAAGGTCAGTAAGATTGCACCGCATTCATTGAGCCAGCGGGCCAATGAGATCTCAGAGCATTCGCCAAGCAGCTTGATTGCAACGCATTGCTCGACCAACAACAAGCATGACCAAGTCCGTAGAGTACGATTGGGGAATGAAAAGACTGATTGGTGGAAATAACCACACTCAGACCGTGGCAAAAAATAGTGTGCCTCACGCGGGTGGTGCTATGTTTAACTCACCCCCTGAGAATTTTTCAAGTAGGCGGACCAGAGCTTCTTGACAAATGTTGTATGTTGTTTGATGTATTCATGGCCTGGACTGATGCAACAAAACATATGGACAAATTCGTGCTGAGAGCAAAATGTGCAGCCATTTCTGGCCCTTCTGTGCCGCACCTGAACAGGAAGTGCGCGTGTGTGTGTGTGTGTCACACCCTGTTTCTAAGGGTTTCTACTCGTTTTCATGCAGCAGGGGCGTCAGGCTCGATACACCTACCTGACGCAACGAAGCTCTGGTGTATCGAGGGATGGGTGGACTGATCATCCACCTGTACCTGCTTCAACGGTTGAGCAAGCTGTTCAGTGATTCATGATACCTCCCTTAAACCTTTTTCCTTCCGCATTGCAGCGGCTGACTGTCACTTTCTTTTGAGCGCCTTCGGAAACAATTTTAAACAATACTGTTGTGCCGACTCACTCGCCTTGCCGTTCCCTCACCTTCCTTCCCAACGTGGCAATTGAGTCTAACTGAAAACCAAGTTCGAAGTGTGGACCGCTCAGTCTTCCCACTTGGGTACTGGGTGTGACCCTCCGAAAGGAGGCGCTGAAACCATTCCGGAAATCATCGACCTTCAATTTTTATAACTGCTTTTCCGTTTCTTCACCTTTATCCCTGAATTAACTGATTTTTCGAGCCGCCGGGCTATAAGCGACGGAATGTCTACCCAAAGTTCCGAAATCCATTCGCGTTGTGCATGGCTGCATCCTCAATTTTCAATTTTTAATTTTCCAACCGCAGCCGTTTAGCCGATGATCAACTTACGCATGCTCAGTACTGCAGATCCCAGAGATTGCATTGCATGCCGAGATTTCACCTTACTCACCTGTACTACACATGCACTCAGGCTCCAGATCTCACTAGGATTCCCAACCTCTCACTTCCGCTGCTGTGCCGCGCCGGCGCCATTTTCTGCAGCCTTTCGGTTTGGCCTCTCCATCGTTCTCCACATGCAGTATCCCTGGCCGTATCCACAATGGCCAACACCAAGTACCGCACCCACCATACCTACTGTCAGCACTCAGCCATCACCATGGCACCATCCTCCACCAACGGCACCTCTCCCTACCGTCCTGTCTCATCAGCAACCACAACCGATCCTGTCTCACTTTCAGGCCACTTCGCAGCAACCGCCAGCTCTTACCTGGCCACATCACTTGCCAACCCATCCTCCACCGGCACCAACCTTCATGGCTCACACACCAGCCTACCCACCACCACCTCAGATGCAGGCCCTTGAGCCCATGCCAGCACCACCTCTACACCACCCACCTCCTTTGCAGCCCACATCACCAGCACCACCCGCTCCACACGCTCCGCAGGTACCACAACCACTGGCACAGCCGACTCCCATTCATTGGGACCAATCTCAAGGCGTTTGGCAACCTTACTCCCTCTTCCCACCAGTGGTTCACACTTCACCACCCTCACATCAAACATCAGCCTCAACCACCACTGCGCTTTCTGACCCAACACCCTCCACGGTGGCACCTGTGCCACCAGTTCCTGGCGATCTGAGCATCCCATCCTCCGCCAGTGCCCATCCGAGCACCTCCCAACTGGCCACCGATACTACAGCCTCTACACCACCCTCCACATCACCAACCGCCCACCTTGCTCCACCACCAGCCACAACAGCTCCACCACTACTGCCACCACCGCCACCACCCCCACTGCAGACACCTTCAGCACCAACCACGGAGTCCCACAAGCGTTCCCACACACAACCTCCAGCAGCTACACCGACTCACGCGGGCACTGTCCATTCACCGCCGGCCTCTCTTGCAACCACCGGCCGGACCCACCGCAGCAGAGAACGCAGCCGACGTCGTCGCCGCCACCGCAGTCGCCGTACGCGCGACCGGCGCACCAGACATCACCACTCCCCTGCCGCTTCTACCGCCAAAGCCTCGTCGGCAAGACGTCGGCGTCGCCGTTCCCCTTCAACCTCATATCTCACAACATCAGACAGCCGCTCCCGCAGCCGCTCCCACGCACCCATCACTCTCCGCCCCAATCAACAGTCCACAACTCACCACCAGATCACAAACATGTCCCAGGCGGAATTTCCCAACGTTCCAGCCATGCGACGGCCCCACCCGCCTTGGAAACCACCTCCACCACATTTCCACCAACTCTCCCACCAAGAACAAATCGAATGGTGGCTCAACTTTCACGCGGCGCAGTTGGCAGCAGAAAACAAACCACAACATGCATACGTCGCCAAACTTCTCGCTGACAGCGGCTACACCCACGACGACTTAGCAGATTTCCGGCAACTCACCCATGTGAAGTGGAATGACGCTACCAATACCTATGACACCTTCTCCTACCACTGCATCAACATCCCCAGTCTGGTCGACAAGGCCACTCGCCCAATACCACCGCCTGCCACCCGTGCCACCTCCACTACCCCAGAAACAGTGCACATCAACGCCGGCCACACAGGCCCCCATGGCAACATTACTGCCATCCTCCAACAGGGCCGTCTCCTGCCCAGCACCCTCCACTTTGACGCCAACCCGGGCTTTTTCGCCCAAGCCACGCGTATTACTCACCAGCAACTGCACGACAACTACGAACAAGCCCGCATACTCCACAACACATGGAAGCTGGCAAAAAACATCCATTCTATTATGATCCATCTCCTAGCCTGGGGCCGGGGGACTAAGTTCACCAGCGGCGGTGAAGCCCAAGCCATGCACCTTTTGCAACAAGACCATGGCGCTGTTTGCCATTCCAAAGCCCGCTGCTGGGTGATTCACCCCCATAACGCCATCGTCAAAGGACTGGCGTGGTCTATCAATGCAACGCCACCCCTTTGAGGCTTAACCACATACCACCGACCAACTCATCTTCCTCAACACCAACGTCAACCCACCACACTTGAGAGAGGCTTCTCCACGCGTTTCACATTCCGCCACCAACTCCGGCTTGCAACATCGGAGCTCCAGTCTCAGTGCCAGCGAGCTGCAATCACATGCCTTGGACTTCAATCTATTTGTAACAAATTACGTTTGCCTTTTTGAACCAATGCAACCAATTTTTCGTTTTGTGCTCAGTTTGACCCTTTGATCGCTGTTTAGTGGATGATCGCTTTGCCCACCTTTTGGTTTCCTACGTATGCCAGATTCCTTTGACCATGGTTTTCCTTACATGATCACCAGTTGTGGATCTTCTTCACGTCTTTTTCGGTTGTATTGATTCAGCCCCGCCTTACAATGTGACTTTGTATGTACTGCAAAATTCATGCTCAATAATTCATTCCGGTAATTCAATTGCATGCCCCGCTCGTATTTACCGGCCGTTCATGCAGTGCTGGCACCAGCGATGCGCCGTCCGCCTGCTGATCCAGCCCGCCACTTCAGCTGCTTGCCTTCCACACTGCACTTTAAGATGCAGTCTCATGCCGATCAAGCCCGACTCCTGCATCGAACTACGATTGCTCTCAGTCAGCTCCATCGCTTACTTCAACAAGCAACCGACATCCTGGCCAACCTACACAGCCTTTACCTTGTTCACACACGCCAGGTCGACCCCCAACTCCACCGGCCTTTTCCACCCCTCCAGCTCCCCTCACAGCAGTTCCTATCCCTTCCCCCACCTCCTCTTGCGACTCGGCTCCCACTGCCACCATCAAGCACGCACCACCACAGCCTCCAATTTCACAAGCATCCTCAACCTCCACATCTCCACCACCACCACCACCACCACCCAAGAAGAACCTCCACCACCCCTCAAAGAGGGCGCTGATTGGGATGCCTGGGATGGCGACGCTGAAGTTCGCCTTGTGGAACTCAAAACTGACACCCGCCTGCGACCCAATTGGAACTATGTTGCTCGTCGAGTGGGCTTCTCAATTGCACAGTGTAAAGCACGCTGGGAAGAACTTCAAGAAGCACAACGCGAACACAAAGCAGTCCTCCCACCGCCTTCACCAACACCTACTTCCCCCGCCAACACACCACCACCTCTTTCCCCTGTTCACTCACCTCCTTCTGCAGCAGCCATCCCACCACTACCACCACCTTCAGCTCCGGACTTCTCTTACACTCCTACAACACCTCCATCACCTCTACCGGTCACCGCGGCCCTTGACGATGCTATGCCAGCAACCATCAGTGAGGACAGTCATCCGGAACCAGAAGCAGCTGACATTGGTAGTTATTTTGTATAGTCTCAGTTTCACCTAGCTCCCTTCGGCGCGCCTCTCGCAAACAATTTCCTTGCATCGCTGACCACTGAGGCAAGATCTCTCATTTCTGACACTACCGATGACTTCGTTGCATCTTTGCAGCCATAGCAGTTTTTCCAACGAAGTTACTGCAGTGCACAGTTGAATACCGCATGCTCTCACGATCTTTGAGCTCCGCTTGTTATTTTGCTTCATGTCACCGCAGCCATTTTCAACCTATCGACTACTTTGAGTGTACAGACAAACTCTCGTTCATCATGGTTCGAGCTGACGTGCGACCGTTTGAAGCCTCGTGATCACCTTCTACAGAGCAGACTTCAGCCACCGAGACATACTTTCTCCCAGACAACCCTCCTCCACACTTGACTCCGTCGCTCACACACCAGCCAGAACTGCTCTTCATGCAAGGCCTTCTTGACAGCCTTGCCAACGTGGTTACCCAGATCCTCAACCACCCTATGATCGACAGTCCCATACCAGACCACACTCTCTTCACCGATGCTGATGCCTTCCGGTTGTACTTTCAGTACCACCAAAGTGCTACTGAGTTAGCCCGAATCACCATGCGCTTGAAACGTGCCAGCCGACTCCTTCAATTCATGCCAGGCCCTCCGGGCCACCCCGGCAGCTATCGTGTCAACCCTCTAGCACATTTCCCACCAGACACTACTGATTTCCTGGCCGATGAAGTACGCACTTTTTGTCC